CATCCTTCCTAATGTCTCCAAAAACACGGTTTTTCGCACATGCAAAACTACGTTTGACACACGATTTAAGCTAAAAATCCGAAACAAAAACAAAAAATTTAGATATCAAAAACATAAAGATACTAATTAAAATACCTTGTTATTGAAGAAACAAACATTTTAGTATAAATTTGTATGATCGATCAATAATTTGGCTCTGTTGCTGCGTATCTGCTTTTTGGCACACATCTCGAAATAAAACATTCCACATAGATATATCGTTGATCTGACGCCAACCTGGCGAATCATTATTTATTATACGAGGGTAAGTTGAAAAATAAGTTTCCTCTGTCGACTGTGGTCAGAGTTGTGTATGAAAGTCAAAAAATAGAATGAGACATTAAAGATATGACATACCTTTATTTTATTATTCTCGTACGAGTACGTTGAGACATTTTCATCGCTTGATAAGCTTCAAAAAGTACTCCAACAAAAATTCACGCTTAGCATATGGAAGAAGCGTTGGAGCGTCTATGGGCGAAAGGCGACACAGCAGGAAAACACGCAAGTCACCGATACACCATTGGGTTGAGGTCGCTGCAAATCAAGCAGATGGCGCTGTTGCAGTGCCTGCGCCAAGCGGAGACCAGCCTCTCATTTGAGTCCTGTAATATGGAGAAGAAGGTGTGTTTTGAATTCGTGGTCAAAGGAGGAAGTAGAGCGGTTACCACTATGAATGGGCACTTGGAGTATCAGGAACAGAAATTCATAACCGCCTCGTGGAAGTCTATGGGTCAAGTATGATGTCAAAACAAATGGTGTGGAGATGGTGTTGCACATTCAGTGATGGACGTTAGCAAGTGGAGGACATACCGAGAGCTGGACGGACACGCACGGCCACTACAGATGCAAATGTCAGGAAGGTGGATGACATGATTAGAGCGAACTGGCATATCACCATCGATGAAGTAGCGGAAGAACTTGGAATCTCACGTGAGCGAGCTCAAAACATCATCCACGACATTCTTCAATACAGAAAAGTGTCAGCACGATGGGTACCTTGACACACAAGGAACAACGCATGGGGGTCAGCCTGGAACATCTCGTGCGTTACCATGAAGATGGCAATGACTTTCTGTTTCGGATTGTGATGGGGGATGAAACGTGGGTCCGCCATTTCACGCCAGAATCGAAGGCCGCATCTATGGAGTGGAAACATCCATCATCAGCTGTCCGAAAGAAGTTCAAGACAACTCTCTCTGCAGGTAAAGTGCTCCTCACAGTTTTTCTGGGACGCCCAGGAGTTTTGTTGCTGGACTTTTTGGAGGTTGGAACCATCAATGCTATGCACTACTGTGCACACCCCTGTCGAAATTGAAAGAGGCGGTTCAGAAAAAAGCGCCTGGCCTTCTCACATCTGGCGTTCTGCTGTTGGATGACAATGCCAACCACATGCGGTGACGGCAATGCAAAACCATATTGCACTCTTGGATGAAGCGTCTACACCATCCACCATACAGTCCTGATCTCGCACCAAGCGACTTCCATCTGTTTCCGGCTTTGAAGAAAAATCTCGGGGGAAGGCGCTTTGGAAGCAATACTGAAGTGAAACAAGCCATTCAACGCTTCTTCCATATGCAAAGCCCTGATTTTTTCCTGGAGGGCTTTTTGAAGCTTATCAAGCGATATGACAAATGTCTCAATGTACTTGGTACCTATGTGGAAAAATAAAAGTATGTCATATCTTTAATGTTTCATTCTATTTTTTTACTTTCATACACAACTCTGACCACAGTCGACAGGGGAAACTTATTTTTCAACTTAACCCTCGTACTTTCCTTTCATCACCACATGTTTATCAAAACATGACAACTTGAGTAATGACTCATGTATCGATGCCTAAACAGTTTTTTTATGTTACTAATTAAATAATAAAGGAGTATGATAACCTTTTTATGTTGACATTACACTTAGCGATGATTACGGATTTAAGTTAAATTCTCTAAAAAATGTTGATGAGGAAAAATCTACCAAAAATTTCTTTCCATATGCTAAAAATAGATTTTGTTGATGATACTAATACACTCAAAGATTACATTTTGGGCTATTTGAATTAAAAATAACTGATTTGTTATTCCTATAAACCCAGAACCAGCGCCAGGGCTCGTATGGCCGCACAGAGTTGCAGAATTTAGGACCAGAGACTGCATCAGGTGGTAAGATATCTAGCGCTGGCCCTCAGTAAGGCTTAAGCATGTGCAAGAAATAGACATAAGTATAATAAATAACTGATACAATTCAGGCTTAACTGTCTCAGTGCACGATAGAAGCAAGATAAAACTTAACGGAACAACTTGTCGTTAGTCACCAAGCTCATGATGCATAACCAAATATGTATAGCGAAGGATAGCTAAATTTGATGATGATAGCCGTCAATTTTAAAGGTTTTCCGATATCGGAAAGCAAAGGTGAAATTTTCCAATTAATGGATTTTATAAAGAAATGTGGGGCAGCGGTAATAAATGAAGATGATATAAAAGAAGTTTTTCATTGTGATGACAATGCTTCTCAATCATCAATCAATTAATGAATGGCGAAATCTTTATTATGGTTCTAGATCCTGAAAACAGAGAAGTTACTGAAAACGAGAAAATTTTGATTGACAATTTAGTCGAAATTCTCGAAGCAGCAATTACAGGACTTCAACAATGTAACTGAACAAGAAATTATGTCTGTCTACTGAATTAAAGAGAAAGTATTAGCACAGCAACTTAAACAACTTACATTGAAATGTTTAATAAGGTAAACAAATAAATATTAAGATTTTTTTTTTTTTTTTTTTTTTTTTTTTTTTTTTGTAAATTTTGTTACCCTTTAGATCATAAATGCTTCATTATTTCATAAATCACAATTTCATGTTTTTAATTTTATAATTTCTACATGCTATCTAACTAGATTTAAACTGATGATCTAATATCTGGAAACGTTGAAGTCGCGATGAGTCCGGATTTCGAACTTAGTACTGTAATTTGTTTGTTTTTATAACACAGTCAAATGTCGTTAATCCGGACTCGTCGGGACTTTGGCAATTTTGGATTATCTATTTATCCGGATTATGGATCATCAGTTTAAATCTGGTAAGATGGCATGCAGAAATTATAAAATTAAAAATATGAAACCGTAATTTATGAAATAAAGAACAATTATGATCTAAAGGGTATCAAAATTTACAAAAAAAAAAGCTTATATTTATTTTTTACTTTATTAAACATTTCTTTCAATGTAAGTTCTTTAAGTTGCTTTGTTTTTTATGTGATAATACATTCTCTTTAGTTCTATAAACAGACATAATTTCTTGTTCAGTTACAAAGTTCCGCTGTTCAAGTCCTATAATTGCTGTGTCTACCGACTAATTTGTCAATCGAAATTTTTTCGTTTCCAATAACCTCTGTTACTTTCTTCGCTATCGGAAGCGAATTATAATGCGAGGAATTTGATTTAAATCATATCAAAGATGGAGTACATCGAGATGAAATACTACATTTAGTAAGGAATTATAAGCCAATTAAAATAAAAACATCTGCCCTGAAGATAAGCATAGTGCTGACAGATCAACTTCCAATTCATTGTGCGCTGCGGCGTTAAAGATAAACAAAGGATATGCCTTTATCCATTTTTTGCAGCAATTCCACTTTTTGTCTAATGGATTTCGAAACATACTTTCGCTGTGTAGATCCTTTACATATTAGTAAATATATATCAGAAATTCTATTTGACATAATCGAAAGTTCAAGCTTACTTTCATAAAATTGCTCTAACAGTCTGCAAAAAATAATAAGCCGGATCCAAATCGAAGATTAAGGAACAATGCAATCTGCAACATTAACTGAAATAGATAATTAGGTAATTTTAGCTTAGCTTATACCGTCCGTTATACATTAAATGCACATTCGTAAACGTATTTTGAGCACGCGCACACGCATATTCGCAGCCGTAAAGGTCTTACGCGCATGCGTCAACGTGACGCATGTGCAGAAAGTTTGTAGCTTTGAGGTCCGGATTATGGGTGTCTGAATTAACGACTTTTGAATGTATATCCTTGTTCACACATTGGTTTCAGTTTCTCATTTAAGAATAATTCAACAAATTGCTCCTGTATTAATATGGATTTGTCAAAGTTTGTGGATCTACTTGCAAAAGAATCCAGCATCCAGTTGGGAATAACAAAGTGAAGAATATCTCCTAGTTTTATTTCTATAGGAAAATTTTTTAAACAAATGCAGATATTATACTTTTTGTTTTGATTAAATTTAATTAATCACTTTATTGTTTCAGTTTGGTTTTCCAATTTGGCAAATCAATTGGTCATATAAACTGTCATTTTTTAGGTAAATTGAGCTGCAAATCATCGTCTTTACCTTCCAGGAATTCCAACACCGTATCAAAGTGTGCATAAATTCGATCCAAACATGCAAATCATAAAAGATGCTAACTTAGGATGTAAAAATCACTACCGATTTGTTTGTTGTTATTTATTTTAATTTCCGTAATACAAAATTATTGGAGTTTATGAAAAGTGTTGTCACAAGTACCATACCCACTTGATCTTGTGCCCTCAAATTTTCACTTGATTGCTCTCTTCAAAATTTCTTTTATAATATAACACACAATTCACATGAGGCTATAAATCAGTACCTTGTTCAGCTATTCACTGATAAAATTAGGTTTTTTTATGAAGGAGGAATTACGAAGCTCAGCTTGTCAAAAGAAAGCAAACAGTTGTCAAACAAAATGGGTGATATACTATTATCTACTCATTGTTCTTTATATAAATAAAGGACCTTCAAAGAACGTTAAAAAAAAAAGCGTCATGACGTTTTATACAACCAGATTTATTATTTGAATGAATTTTTTTCCTAAAAGGTGTACTATGGATTTATATATCTAGGGCTGTTTTATGCAAATATATTTTAAAATATTGTTTCAGATTTTTAATTTATATGTATTTTCCCCCTCTTTAGGTTTTAGGCTAGAAATAAGCTAAATGTTTTGGCAATATTTCCTGATTAGTCTTTGAAGTCAAAATCATGTCTGCTGCTTCTGAAAACCTGTGTCCAAATTGTGGGAATGAATTACAAGCTGTCCCAAACTTAGAAGATGATCTGCAGTATGATTGTATCATGTGTGGGTACAGATATGCTTATCTTCCAGCTGCACCACATGAACAAGAAGTAAAATTAGTAGCAAAATCAATGTATTGTACTATTTGTGAAAAACATTTCAGTCAATCCAGTGCTTTAAAAAGGCATATGATTGTTCACTCTGGAGAACGACCATTCTGCTGTGAACAATGTGATAAAAGCTTCAAGACAAAAGCTGCATTAAAAAGGCACACTATTATCCATACAGGGGAATGCCCGTATGAGTGCAGTACTTGTAAAAGAAGATTTAATCAAATTAGCAATTTAAGAAAACATTTAGTAATTCACAATAATAACTGTCCATATTACTGTAATGTTTGTGGTAAAGGATTTAATCAACTTAGTAATCTAAAAAAACATATGATTGTGCATCGAGAACATAAAGCACCCCCAGAACAAGGTAAAAAACCTGAGCATTCAGTTATTCCAAAAGGCTTAGAAAAGACAGTGACACGACCAGTTCTTACTTTTATTAAACCTGCTGAAGCCTAGTATTGACCATAATTGTATATATAGAGAGAGGTTTTTGCAGTTAGTTTTTTCCAATATATACTACATTTTCCCGTGTATAAGCTGTACCCTTCATTTTACCTATAATTAAAAAATATATATCAGGTATAAGGCACACATAGCCTGCATACCATCTAGGATATGTTTTTAAAAAAAAATTTTTTTTATTTTAAAAGAGTAGAAGCAGCTTAAAAGAAAACAGTTCTTACCACACAATTGAGATAAAATTTGTATTATCAGTCAAAAGGAACGTGTTTCTGTGTTTAGTTGCAGTTTAAGCATGTATCATAGCTAAATCATTTTTCCAAAGTTTCTTTTCAAATGACATACAACCACAGTTAAACAATTAATGCAACTTTCAACCAGTAACAATGCCTTTTGTACTCAGTTGTTAAACATGCACTATTATGTTGCACAGGCTGCTGTTTTACCACATGTTTGTATGTACCTGTTCCTAATCAATCATGTTTATAAGCTGCACCCCCTAATTTTTATCTGCTTTTTTTGCACAAAAAAAGTATGGCTTATACTCAACAGAATATGGTATATAATATTTAATATAGGCAAATTTTTAATGTAACCTAATTTGTTCAGTGTTGTTTCATACATACTGGATTTTTTCTCTCATGAGATACAAAGGGTGTGTATCAAATTCTTGACGTTCATATAAAATAACTAATATTAAGAGAAATTTATTCTTAGGTGTTAAAAGCTAACATATGTTTATTATATCATACTTGATTTATTAATATTTATATGTAAACTAAGCTATTTTTTATAATATGTATAAATTCAAATGTTATAGTATTTATGTAAAAATATTGAAACCAATTTGTAAATATCACATTATATGTGAAAAATGTATTTGTTCTTTCAAAATGTATGATTACCTTACTCAGTAAAATTACACAATTAGGAAAAAAAATGTACTGTCTTTCTTTTAGTATCAAAGAAAAATTTTAAACTTTATTGCAACTGCACTGTTCGCAGAGTTTATCAGCAAAATATATGCATGAGTGAATGGTTAAGACTGTTGAATACCGGTAGCATACCCAGGAAAATGTGCTGGCTACATGGGTGTTTTTCATAGTTTTCCTCAGGTATAACATGAGCCAATTTTCCCTAGAGTCCTCCATGGAGGCATTCCTACTCTTAAGCAGATAACTTTCTGTGCTTTTTCGTAATAAGCACATTCAAATAACCTGGCCCAATGTTTCTTAAACTGTGCATGGAACTCTGGGGTTCCATGATACTTGTGTGCTTCCCCCCCCCCCGTAATGTTAAAAAAAGTATAGTCATTGTAAATGCAGTAGTCTGACAATACTATCAGGACAGTTTTTAGTATTCAGAAGCCACCCACTTGGGAATCACCCAAAATCACACTATTAGTGGTTTCCTGGCTCATTTATATATTGATCTGCTATGAATGGAGAATCCCGCAGATCTATAAATACAAGAAAATCCTTCAAGTTTTAGGAATGCAAGGAAATCCCTTGTACTGGGATATAAAAGGATGCTGTAAGTAGCTGATATAATAATCACTTAACAGTGTGTGTCTTATGAAATACAAACTGATTGAAAGCCTTTTTTTTTTTTTTTTTTCTTTAGCCCAAAAGTGGCTATTAGTCTCAAAGTGGGATTTGGGATTTTGCATTAGTTCACTGTAAATAGTGTATCACTTTTCAGATTTTTGTCACTAAATGTTATCACTGTGCATTATTTTTAAAGAAATTAAATAATGAAGAACCTGCATTTGTGAATGTATGTTTCTAGCATTAATTTTTAAATAACAAACTGTGCTGTTTGAAAGCAAGCAGTGGCAACACTTAGAAATAAAACATTTTTATTTCCAGTGCACAAAACTATTGCCATTAAAAAAATGCATGAAAGCAGCGTGTTGCTGTGGCAGTGGTGTAGCAAGCATAACTGGCGCCCGGGGCAAAAAAATCTTTTTGGCGTCTCCCCAAAAAAAACTTTCAGTAATATAATGTGTAGAATATATTCGTAATAAGAAAATAATGCAAATAATAATAAAATGCTGAATATGCTATAAAATACTCAAAAATATATTAAGAATAGTCACTATCTAACTACACTAGCCTTGGATTCGTAAATGCATCTGTGTCGGTGGAAAAAATCAGACATACGATGATCTAGAGTTAGTTAAAAAGGTGTTATTTATTTTACATAAGTGTTTTTAAAAAGTACAGTTTTTAAACAAAAGTTTAATATACATTATAGATAAATAGATATGTGGCAACTTGCCTACTACAACTCAACTCTGCCAGTCTGGTAACCCATAGCAACCAAAAACAAAATAATATTTATTCTATTCAATTGTTATAATTATTTAACTATCTGTCTCAAAACATTGTGCTACCATAATTGACCCGTATTTATTACGAATAGCAACCTTCAATGTTGCCCAAATATGGAGTTTATATGTCAAAATTCTGAGCAGCAGTAAGTTATCCAGTGTGATGAGATGCAAGTAAGACATTTCATATGTGATTTCAAGGGTTGTGCCGCATTCCGGTGAGTCACCATATTTCTGTGATAATTTCAGCGGATATATGTATTGTCTGCTGCATTTGAGCCGCCAATTTCTCTGATTTCAAGTACCATGAAACTGTGTCACTTTATACATATTGATTATTTTTCTATACATATTATTATTGTGAATATTTGATTGATATAAAGTGGTTGAAAACGATGCTGCTTCACAATTGGCGCGAGTGGCAGTTAAGCCACCGTCTTTTTGTCGCCGAGACCCATCGTTATGGTTCAATCAAATGGATGCGCAGTTTAAATTGAGTCGCATTACTGCCGACGAAATCAATTTTATACAGTGATCGCCGCGTTAGAATCAGAGGTACTGCAATCAACTCGTGAAATAATTTTGAATCCACCAGTGACAGACAAATACAAATCTTTTTTAAAAAATTAATTTCTGTTTATGAAGAATCCGAGACAGTTAAAATCAAGCAGCTGTTGCACGATTTATAGTTGTACTCATATCAATGAGGACTTCTCAATTGCTGTCTAAAATGTCAGACTTAGCCGCCGGTAACCTGACGGATAACATTCTTAAAACATTATGGATGAATAGACTCCCATCTAACATGCAAACCATTTTAGCGGCCAGTAGCGAGCCACTTAAAATCTTCCCGAAATCGCTGATAAAATTCACGAGCTGGCCATTTCCAGGGCAAATACACGCAGTGCAGGCTCCTGGTCCAGGTATTGTGGCGTTACAGGCTTAAATTGATGATTTGTCCAAACAGGTTGCTCAGTTAGTAGCCATCCAAGCTCAAACTTTTTAGCGCAACCGCTCCACATCACGTGGTCGAAATACACGTCATAACCCACTGAGGAAACGTTATGAAAGCTCTCCTCCGGGTATTTATTTTTACCACCACAAATTTGGAAATAAAGGCAAACAAATGCCGCCCACCGTGTTGTTATAACGACCAGGGAAACGAGAAGGGCCGTTGCTCAAAGTCGTGAACTACAGCGGCCGGAATTTTGCACGCCTTTTCGTCATGGAGAAGAAAGAATTCGGGCTTAAAGTTTCTTGTAGACACGGGGCTGATGTTTCCGTCGTTCCACCACATTTTCACGAACAAAAGCACCTTACCAAGTTACAGCTAAATGTAGCAAATGGAACTCCTATACAAACTTTTGGTGAATGCCTGATATCTGTTGATTTAGAATTGCGCCGCAACTTCCATTGACCATCCATTATTGCTACTGTTTCAAGCAACGACTTCTTATAACAGGTAGACGGCTCACCCACAGAGAATTCGTCTGCTAGGATGTCTCCAACATATACCACGTGACTAATGCTCTTGGGGAGTGATAGCTTAGACTGTTCATCGCCAGTTTGGCCTGCTTTTGATATGGCAAGTAGTGCTTTTTATTTCCGTCTCCTAGCAGTCAGCAGACAACGACCTCGAATTAGGTTGTTCGATTTTTTACAATTATATTTAGATATAACTTAACCCTTTTTTTCCTGAATATTTTATCTATATTTTTAATAATCGCTTTAAATTATTTGCACCATTGTTTAAGATGTTTAGGTTAAATAATTTTAGGAAGAAAATCTAAAATAAATAATAAAAAATGAGATGGAAACTTTAATTTGAATAATGTTAAAAAATTAATTGCACTACTGTTATAATATTTGAGAAGGTAAAAAAATCTCGTTTAATTTTAATGCATTGCATCCTAAAGAGACAAAGAAAATCACATTGTATTACATGTATTTATGCCATTGATGAAATATATACTTACAGACTGTTGACTTTCAGCTGGAACTATAAACTATTACTGTCCAAACTTAATATAGTTTATGATACAAAAAGATAAATTATACTGAATTAATTAATTAAAATTATGTTTACTTAAATATATGAAAGTAAAATATTAAAGAAAAATATTTTACTTTCATATATTTAAGTAAACATAATTTTAATTAATTTTAAGTCAGAAATAGTTTTTGGAAGAATTTCATTTACTTTTGACCTCTCGGTGTTAGCAATAGTACTTGCATTATGGAAATGTAGGATAGTAAAGAATTTTTTATTTTTTAAAAAGATCTTTATTAAGTAATTGAATATGCCCATTTTATTCAGTTACTTGCATATTAAAGTGCTTATAAATTCAGCAATGTCCAGAAAATAATTTCATGCAAACTTGGAAGCTACTGCCTTAACTGTACATTAAATTTAGTAAGATTTCATATTTTGCAGATCAGCTGTAAAATGTACATTTTCAAAATAAAATTTTCTTTCTGAATTATAAATTCAAACATGACAATACATATTCTATTTTATTCCTGTATCCCAATTAAATAAACACATTATGAAAATGTGCATTTAAATATAGTATTTACTATAAAGTAAGTGGCTTAATTACAAATAAACACTCAAAAATTAAGTAAAACAAAAATATACTACTTATCATGAACACTAATCTTTTAAACGTGAGCAGAACGCACGTTTTGAATAAAGTTTTCGCTCTTCACCAGCTGCAAAGGATCCAACTTGCATCTGATTAAGAAATAAAGCTTTTCAATTGAAAAGCATGTCCTGCTCATATTTTAAAAGTTTGGTGTTCATACAAAGTAGTATATTTTTATTTTAAGTGGATTAATGTTTATTTATTTATTAAAATTATTTATTCTAAAGTATATCAAGAACAAGTACTAAAAATCACCTACTCAAAATGGTAGTCAAGTATATTCCAAATTTCTTATTTTTGATATGTGAATAAGTAATGAGCTTTTTAAAACAAAAACACACAATTTGGCCAAAATATAGAAACTAGTTATTGTTATATACTACATGAATAACTTTATGAAATACAATAATGCAATATAATATGAAATACAATAATAATAACCTCTTTTTTCCTGAATATTTTATCTATATTTTTAATAATCGCTTTAAATTATTTGCACCGTTGTTTGTTGCACCCTATATATGGCTCTGATATGAAAAATTTGACTTATCAAACTTTTTTTATTTATTATTATTATTTTTGGAGATGGTATATATTTTTAAAAAATTAGCTTGTCGAACCATTGAAATCTTTATAGATATATAAAGAATGTGATATTTACTTTTAAAAATTGAATACATAAAACAATGTAAATAAAATACGAACTACAAATTAAAAATACATGCTTTTATTTTTAAAAATACAGGACTTGAATAAAACTTAAAATATTATTGTCCCTTAAAAAGTGTAATTTTTGTGTTAACGCTACGTACGTTTTTGTTCTGAAGTTTTTCTGTTTCAACTTTACCTGCATAGTACAGTCGTATTTTCAGGTATTCAAACAGAATGGCTTTTATCAAAGAACTTCTATGGTTATCTAAAGGCTCATGATTTAAAATATGTTCATGCATGCCTAAAAATATA